CCCCCCTGCAGGAAGTAAAATTCAAAACCGTACGGTGGAAACCCTTAGGCACAGGGGTTGACACACACACACACACAGAGAGTCACAGAGTACACAACCACGAAATTCACGGATTTGAATCAACCAAAGAAAACCATGTCTGGCCGTACTGACAGATTTTGTCCTCGCATGTGACCATGTCTGACCATCATGGCTCCGAAGTTCCCCTTTTCGGCTCTCCGCTCTCCGGCTCGGCTCTCCAGCTCTCCGGCTCATCTGGTCCGTCACGCTCCGAGTGCGGTGGCGCGCGGTGGTGGATACCATTTTGCGAACCGGTCGAAACCGGTTGAGAACCTCGCACCCATCACCATCCCCAGCCCCACATGGAGAGATGGATGCAGCTTATTATGATCTTTTTAAGAAAGACATCGTCATATGATGTACATGCTGGCAGCTACTTTGGTGGATGACTAGCACAAAACCAAACATCACCGGTTCCATGTTCATCTTCCTGGGTACCTGCTGGTGTGGGCGTTCGACCCATGAGGGAGGCTACCAGCCCCAGCTACCAGACTCGCCCCTCATAGGGGGAAGTAAGTCATAGGTCACCCATGTTAGAACCTCTGAATGGGCACCCAGAGGTTAAGCGTTCTACTGTGTAAAAAAAGAGAGTGTTGCCCAGGCTACCGATTGGACAGGTTGGCAGTTGGCACCTAGTAGTGAAAGCCACCATTAACAATCCAAACCAACAACACTTTGCACCGTTCCAGTTACTTATTGGGTCGTTGCCTGACCCAAAAACAGACCGCGCAAAAACACCCAGAGGATCTGGACTAGACCAGGCCACATCAATTCTTCGTCAGCGCCTTGAGCGCAACAACACGATGTTTGTGTCACACCATTCACGTGGGCACGTCAAAGGCGGCGATGCAAATCCAGAGGAGCCAAAACCATTTGAGTCCAGGTTTCATGGTTTCCAGTGAAGGTCATTCGGCAATGATCTTGACAGGAAGAAGCCCGTACTAAGCACCAGGGAGACTCTAGCCTCGCCTAACCTCCATGATGGCATGTGATGACTTGTCAGGTAGAGGATGGTCACATGATGATGCTTCATGTGGGATGTGGCGCTTTGTGAGGGAGGCAAGCGGCCACTGGTCCCACGCCAGGTTTTGCAAGCCAGGTCGCCAAACCACACCGGCCCCACACCCCATGATCACTGGCTGCCTGAAAGCCGACGTTGCATGGTAACATGTCCATGATCATGCACTTCCCAACCACACCGTACAGTACATCGATGTTTGAAAAACTCCCTCTGATTCGGTGTAGTTTTGGAACACGGAAGACGGTCTCCCGGACATGAGATGAGGCCCAAACTGCCGACCCACATGTCTCATCAGGACCGACCCACATGTTTCCAGCAAACCAATATCCACATATTTGCAGCACACTTCTTTCAAGCGTTCATTGATTGATGCCAACGGGCAAACACCCGGAACAACATGTTCGACCATAGATTGACCCAAATAGACCAAGAACTAAATACATGGAACATCATGGACCGCTGTTTCCCTGCAATAATTGATCCTGCTCTTCACGCATTCTCTTTACACCCAGGACAGGTTTTGTTCAGCGTCACATACGCCTATTTCCATGGTTTGCTGTTTATCTTTGAGCACAAATCCCCAAGTCTTATCGTTGACACGACACAATTGGACAGAGAAATATACATAGACTCAGACGTGTTGTTCGCCTCAAACATTGCAGTTGTGGCATCGCACGAGAAGGAGCTTCCCTTTGACGAGCACCCCCGGCGGAGACATTATCTGGCAATGCCACAGGAAACCAAACACAAAGACCTGATCTGTTAAAGCACCTGGAACCGCACATAGGGAGCCCAAGGAACATATCGAAAGGGGACCGGACTCTTGCTTGGCATCAGTCATGGTAAAGGACATTTCAGTGTCCAATACGGACTTGTTGTATCCTACGTTTTGAGTATGTGGAGCGGCCTTGCGGATTCGCTAGTTGCCCATGTGACCAAAGCGGCCCCGAGCCGAACAAATCTTTGCGCGTTGGTTTCCTGGCCAGCTCAAGGTGAAACGGCTTTCAGGGTGCTGCAGCCCGCCCTTCGCCGGCAAGCCTGGCGCTGGAGCAGTGAACGGAAGCCCGAGGTTCCACCGCGAGCGGGTGCGCTCGTGTTTTAAGCCTGAGGAGGCCCGTCAGTGCAGTATTGTAGTGATTCTTATGAAAGTGAACGCCGCAAATTGCAACCAGGATCAACTACGAGTAGTATCATAGTGGTGACAAAAAGAAATGGGTTTTGGCTCCAAAGCACCAGACTGTCTCAGACTCCTAGCAGACTCGCAAGCCAAGCAAAACATTACAGTAGTAAATGCTCACATTGCACCGCCTTCAAAGGGGCTCAAAATCTTATCAGGAAATGCCCTCATCTGATTCAACTTCTCTTGCTCTGGCGGCCAGTTACACGAAAAACCAGCATGGTGCCATGATGGTGCTCTGGAGGTTCCGTAGTTTCTTGGCTTTACACTTCAGTTCATTTCCACGCCAAGTCGTCCCGACCACGAGACTCAGCGACCTCATCCCGGGGACGTCTCGCAGGCACATCGCGCGCAGAAGGCGCTTTGGGCGTTCACCACGGGGCCTGCGAGACGTCGACGTGGAAGACGGACTTCGGTCGGCATCACCAAAGATGCAAATCTCGACCCAACTTCAAGTACGAATGGGACATGACCCTATTGAAAGAAGGTGTGTACATTAGTATGGTATACATGGTCCTCGTTCGAGGATTGGGAAGGGCAACAGGTCTCAAGTTGTGACCTGCTGGAGGATGCTGGAAGATACGTATATATAAACTTTGGGTCTATCCATGGCTATCCTATTACCAAAGGCCTTGCTCGATGTTCTAACAGTGGATATCCACCATGATGATGATCATCATCGATCATCATCATCATCATCATCATCATCATCATCATCATCATCATCATCATCATCATCATCATCATCATCATCATCATCATCATGCATGTCCATCCATGTCTAACAGTGGATGATGAATGGGGCCTGGTTGCAGGCCTTTCCATCTCTAAAATCAGGTTGGGGCCTGGTGTGACTCGACGGCTCGTCACAGGTCAGAACGGGCAAACCCCGTATAGATTGATTCATTACTGCCCATGATTGGGTTCAAACTGAGACTCCAGGTCACTTGGGAGGGATGACCATCAGGTCGGCTGAAGATGGATGACCCGGCGTAGTCTGGAATCCCATGAGGCTCAGCGGCCATCTGCGGCCCTACACGTGAGAGGCCCTGGAAGTCAGGCTCCAGCATTTCGGATGTTCGCTTGGTGTGTTCGAACGTGGAATCCGTCGATTCTCAAGACCCCCAGAGGGACAATCTTGCTTTCTGTGGCCTAGTCTCTCTTGAGTTCTTCTTGTGAACCATCAATTCTCCATTCTTCTCAAGGACTTTCTCAAGGCCATCCATTTCCTGCCATATCCTATTGTACAAACCGCAAAGTGTATATACTGAGCTGTACTCCCTTCAAGTGAGGGACATTCTGCATACCTACCAACCACCTGAAGTGGTTAATTGGTGTATTTGTTGGGTAGGGGCACTTGTTTGTGTTCACATGCATGATTGTCAAATTCTGTTAATTATCCAATATTGCTGTTGGTAATGAGTTCTGAACACCTTGTACTTTGTACCTTTGCTCGTCTTGCAATGAATGGATTAAGCGTGTATAGAGATCGGCACACGTGTAGGTTTGTCGTCATAGGGCCAAAAGAAGGGTCCCAAAGATATACGAAGTAAAACAAACACACTCGCTATCACTCTCTAGACAAACTGCACATTTTGTACCCTATGCATCTTTCCATACTAAACTTCACAGGCCTTTGTCGTCATTAGATTCACTTTGTTATTGTGCTTTCTTTCCTGGCGCTATTTCTGCAAACAAGTCAGCAAACAAAACACCATATTTTTCCATAGTTTGTCTTTGTTTTCCCTTTTATGCATCTTCGTTGCATGGAATTGGACCAATGAAGCAACTACAAACATTGACTTTGACAAAATCTCCTTCACAGCTTGATATCACCCTCTAGGGAGCACCAAAGTGCCAGGTACACGAACCACTAACATGGAATGAGGAAAATCCCCGGTTCGTGAAGAAAAGTAGTCTTGAGTCTTGAAACGACCAAGTGAACAAGTGAACCTTTGCCACTTCCGTTTGAGTGAGTTCCAGTGTACACCCCACAATCTTTGGCTGCCCCCAGTCTGGGTCTGCATCCATCCTCTTCATCCTCTTCGCCAGGTCCGGAGGGAACCACTGAGAAAGAGACAGTCCCTACCCCAGAGTCGCAGGGAGTCAAGACCGGCGACGCTTGAACGCCCACGACCCCGGTGTCCGCACCGTTCCACGGGAAAAAGGTTGGCCGCACGAGACAAAAGCACGCGCCACGGTTCACGCATCGATTAGAGACTAGATCGCACCAGTCTACAGGTGGTCTTCTAATAGGGATGTGTTATCTAAAAACAGAAAGACACCTATACCAGGTATACATCAGTTTATATGGATCTCCTTGTGTTGTAGAGAAAAAGTTACAAAGATGTCCCAAATGGTCTTAACAACATATAAACACACACAAAACAAACAAAGAAACAAACAAACAAAGCTTAGTGTTGCTACCTTCCCCCTTAAACAGAAATCAACCAAAAGAACCTGCCTGGATCATCCACCTGGACGCGCGTGAGCAAGTTCCGTAGATCTCCTGAGTTCGTTCCGTTCGCCGTGCGGTCCCTTCGTTCCGTTCGCCGTGCGGAGCCCGTTCGCCCCAAGGGCCGTGGGTGTTGGAAGGACGGTGGTATAGCACATCTTGAGTGTAACTGTCCTGCAAAAACCCAAGCAGCTTGGGGGAATGTGCCCTGTGTATCCCTGTGTGTGTGCGCGTGGTGTTTGTTGGTTTTTTTCCTTGGGGGCGAGCTAGCCAGCCTTTGAAAAGGGGTGTACGCGGCAAACAGTTGGAGATTGCACATGGCTCACATCCATGTGGTAGCATCGCAAAGTCTTATATAGATCTATTTGTGCGCTTAGTTCCACGGGGTTTCTTGTACCCGGCTTGCTGGCAAAGCCCCTGAAGTCTTTGATCTGGAACTGATCTGGACAAGTTCCCCCTGTGCACCTGGCTGCTGTAAGGACAGTGTGCGCACCCGCAAGTGTCTCGGTCTATCCTGGTGGGCTCAGAATAAACTGGCGGTCATTTTCCACCAAACGAAGCTTGATTTGGCCACGGCTGTGACTTCGTTTGGTCAACAAGCTACGGGACCGGCTGGGTTGACCACCGGAGCGACGGCCGCCCAGTCCATTCTGTTCATTTCGTTCATTTGAAGGTGGTCAACCAAGGGTGCCCCGATGTTGAACCACATGGCCCAGACTTCTCACACCTCTTTGGTGTCACCGCCGTGTACGAGCGAAGAGGGAGCCGCGGCAGAGAAACGGGCTTTGGAGGTGACCCATCCGCGACCGAGAACGCTCCAAGTGGCTCAGCAGCTGCCGTCCGTTGTCCTCGGTGTTTCATCCGTTTCATCCATTTAGGCCCTTCGGGCCGAGGGCGGGCGCGCGCACTGGCGCACCAGCGCCAGTTTGGGTGGAGCACTGCCAGAGCTGAAGACATGCGGTCGGACCGTTCATGAACTGCCACAGACGTTGGTCATCACTGTCAGGCAGAGTCTAGGGTCACGAAGTGGCCCTAGAAGCGCCACCGACGTTGATGATATAATAATATATATATAGTTACTACTGTATACTTCTTAATTGTGGGTGTGTGCATGATAAATAGGGAGATCGGGAGTGACGGGAGTGCCCCAATCAATGGGTGTTCGTTGATGTTCCTTCAGATGGTCTTTTGGAGGTCTCCCTATTCTAATGGCGGCCCTTATCTTGCGTCAGCAACAAAATTCACTGTTGACTCAACACCCCAGCCAACAAGACTGCTTGTACATCTCCTTTCTATCAGGACCCGGCTTGTACATCGGTCAAGGAATTGACACCTGGTCCCTACCCTCAACCAAAGAGCTGGCAGTGAGGGTACTGGTAGGGGAAGGTCTTATGATCTTTTATAGTGGTTTCAAAGAGTAAATGGCACAATCCCCAGGAGGTGTTTGTGATAGGGGGCCCATATCAACCAGCACACTTGGGCATTGTGTTATCTAATTACTCTGAAACCACTGTATTCATCCACCATTCATGCACCCCACCCGGTCCTCCAAGCCCAAGCCCACCGCCTCTCTCGGCACCAGGTGGCCGGCGTTGCTTGAGCTTCACTGCTCACATCCACCGAGTCGAAAAGGCTGGCGAGGGATCGAAGCGCCTTCCTCGTGGCAGGGAGAGAAAGCCGCCGTTGCCAGTTGGAGCTCTAGGGAAACATCATCATGAGGGAAAATAACACCTGTTTGGTATGAGGTTTTGATGGTAGTCAAAGTGGGGCCATGCCATCCACGGGCCACTTCCTTGATGATTTCCGGGAGTGTACAGCTTTAGTCTTTGGAACCACTGATCTACGTAACTTGATCCACTGGGAAGGATACCCAAAAACACGTGGACATGGAGTGTCTGGGGTTTTCTCTGAGGCTCCCCCTGAGGGACATGGATGCCTTCTGTTCTGCCATGACTCCGCAAAGGCGGCGGGAAATGGCCGACGGCTCGTAGCAAAACACACCCAGTTGATTCCTTCATCACGAGCTACCAGTTCTATTTGCTGTTGGGTTCGTAAAGCTCCTCATGTATCCCCATATGGAGATGTAGGAAACATGCTGGTCGGGGGAGTTGTAGTCAGCAAGCCAACATTATATGCATAATATCATAATATATATATATAATATAGCATTATTATATAGCGTTCAGTTTGGGGATAGCACCAACAGTTCGCCGTCTCAATAGTCTCTGTGGACACAATACGTATATACTATAGAATTACTATGTTGCCAAACATCATAGACGGTTGATTAATCAACTACCCCCCATTTGGATTGTAAAGCTTCTAATATCCTCTAATATATGCATATGGGGAGGTGAAAATGTCATCAGTCTACATTTGCACCTGGACATACCTGGACCCGGCTGGGGGCGCGTCGTACCCTACAAGGCCATGGGACATGACTGCATGACTCGCACAACCCACGGCCCCGATCGTCGGTCCCAAGCCCCCCGAGGACGATCTGCCAATGGCAGCACCCATGTAACCATGTGTTTTCAAGCCAAATGTATCCAAATGTTGCCACAAACCACCCCCCCAAAAAAGACACAGATCCAACAGTTCAACAAGCCGTTAGGGAAGGCATCTTCGTCTTACACAGCAGGAAGCCACCAACTGGACATCCCCCTTTTTTTAGATCCCTATAGATCTGCCCAAGAGACAGTTGAACCCAGCAACTTGCAGCAATTCACTATCTAAAAGCCAGGCTTGCACATGTTCTGATGGTATCCTATGGTGACTGCTCTTCAAGTTCGCTTGACCACTCCGCGAAAGACGCAGTGAGTTCTACCACGGCTCCCGGTCCTTTCTCTCTCCTCGTCCTAAGTCGTCCGATGTTTTTCCGTGCGGCGGTTGTCATGCCAAGGGGCGTGTTCGCCTCCAAGGCATGCGTGTTTTGCGCGATTTCGGTCAGCTGATGGTTGAGCCTCGGGATTCCGAGTGAGGAACCGGAGGTACTCAGCCAGGGTGGTGAACCGGTTCACCAGGATTGGTATGTTCAGGTGTACTGGTAGGTTTAGCACTGGATTGGTGATGAAACATGTATTCCCTTGGATGGGTGGTCTTAAGATGTTTTAAATAAAGGTCGATGCATGAAATGCATGGACCCTCAAAGTATATCAAAGCACTTCCAACATGAGTACCATCCAGCACAAGTATACGTTCAAAATACAGTCATGTCACATGTCCCATGTTCTAGGATGCTTGAAAGTGTAGGTATCGTGTAGGTATCGCATATACATGCATTCTTGAAAGGACTCACCACTGCCACTCGTCACTCGACCCTCCGGTTGGTCGGCGTTCGACCTCACAAGCACCATGTGACGGCTCCCATCCGGGATCCGTCTTGGTACTGAACCTCAGAATAACAAGAAGCTACTAGTGGCTAGAAGCTATAGCACGGTGGCGGCCATCACTATTAGGTTGGAGGCCATCGCTACTACTTTGGAGCAAGAAGCTACGAAGGTTAAAGATTTCAATTCATTGGCATCTTGAGTACAACACCCAGTACAACACTAGTAGCGATGCGTCAATGTGATGTGTTCGACACTGAGTAGCTTGCGCCAGTCGTGAACCCGGTCCAGGTGCGACGGATCCCCGGAGGGGACTGTTGATCAATCATCCCTCCATTTGGGGCAAAACCTCACAGGGTTTCAGTATTGTAAACTGGGAGTCCGTTCGATCATGAAACAACTAGTGGATCTGGTGTAAAACCCTTTGTAAAACAATGGTGCTTCGGTAAAGACCTTTCAATCACTGGCAGTTGGAAGCCACAGGAGTATAGTATGGTACAGTCATGTCTACACCTTCCCGAACCATCCGAACATATACCACTGTACCTTCCCGAACATGGGACATGTACCTGGAAAACCCCCCATGGCACAGGGACCGACGACCGAGGCGCTGAGCGTACAAACTGAGACGACGACCTCCAGGAGTGTGTCGAAACAATATACCCAGACACTCCATGTATGGCATATTGACCTACATTGGGGTGGTTTTGGGGGTCAATGTAGGCATATATGGCAGTCCCATGGAGTGTATGGGATAACGCTTGGAGCTTGGAGGCTCGTTTGGTCCACTTCCAAGTGAGCTGGAGGATACTCATTCAGTATCTGACCTGGACCATCCAATGGGTGTCCTGGCTGGACACCCAGGTCTGGGAGGGGAGATCTTGGGGACACCGAACCAGGTCGGTAAGTGCTAATTGGTACACCTGGACGCCCAGTCCGAACCAGAATGGTTGTTCCAATGCATAACAAGATGTCCCAGCCAGAAACTTGGTTGTTCAATGGTTCTTCCAATATGTCAAGTGAAGGCAATTGAGATCATTTACATAACAAGTGGTTGTTCGGGGAGTTCCATCCATTTCAGGCTGGTTGGGTTTTCAGGTGCTCAGAAAAACACCATCACCCCCCTGCCAGCTCGCCAAGACAGAACCAGAAGAAGCCGAGCTGCAAGTCGGCATTTCCTGGGCACCAGTGGGGGAAAGGACACGCGTGGAGCCCAGCAAGCTGGGGAGCATCTGGGAATTAAGGTAGACTCTTGATTAATAACCCCAGCCATTGGAAAATGGAAATCCTCTTCATATGGGGGGTGTATTAATCAAGAGTCTACATTACACTACACTCCATGTCTTAACCTCGTGGAAGTGGATGGCATGGCCGCCATCCGCCATAGATGGCGATGGCCGCCACTTCCTCTACGAACGGCTCTCCAACCACTCAAGCACCGGAGGCACCCGAAATGGGCACCCGTCAGAGCGGTCAGCACCCGTCTTCATATCCCAAACACTCCACAGGGCTAAACATTGACCCTGAAAAACATCTTGAAATCACCCAATTGTAGGCAACAAAAATAAATTCCCATGGAATGATTCTTAAATATTGTTTAGTTGAGGGTATGAAACATCGTCGGTGCTTAACCCACCCAACTTCACCGCCCATAGCGTAGCCGCGCCAGCTGGCAGGTGAAGCCGGGAAAAGCATGGAAAAGCCAATTAAGCCATATTAAGCCCATGTCACCAACATCGAGCATTTTCAGAGATGATGGCACAACCCCGAACATATGTTTAAAATGGGACTCCACATAAACCTCCATTTGGGGATTGTGCCATCTACTCTCAATCTGTAGCCATTCATATGCACCCCAAATATCCCTGTCTATTATATATATATCATTATATATCCCTCTGCTCTCACTAAACACGCTCCTTTCCTAAACCTTCTCTTGGGGTGGCGTGGGCCACACCCAGCACGCCGGAAGAATCCCTCCGCTCCATCAGCGACCGCGTCCGAGAAGAATGGTTGGCATCGGTGTTTGATCCACATGGATTATGTCAAACCCAGATCAATTATATAGACCCCCAAGTAGATAGACAAATCAAATCCCTTTCAAAATGTATTGGACACCGTGCGACGATCTGATCTATGGGGATCCCTATAGCCGCTGTTAATATTCAGTTGGTCCTATTCGAATCAAAAACTTGCTTGAGATCCGTACCCGTCTGACAGTCTGAACTGAAATTGCCCAACAGTTCGAGTCATGACATGTCGATGTCGTCGGCAAGTTTGGCGGCGACATGAAGAACATCCAACTGCTCGAATCCGCAAGTCTCTGGACTTTCCTTTCCCTGGTGACCGGGGATCCTATTATAAATAATCTTGCACCCACTTGCAGGGTACGAACACAGGGCTCAAACAGGGGCAAACTTTTTTTGATCAAGTTCACTCAGCCCATATGCCACATGAGAATCAAAAAACACTCACATGTGAACGGCACGTGATGGCCTTGAACAGTCCAGATGACTTGCGACCTTCACACCTACATCAACATCCCAAGTGAGTTGCAGAACAACATACTGATACTTGTCAAATTCCCGCAGCCGTTTCCACAAAGGTGCCGTGAAATGGGTTGACAACGGGGCTCTTAACACCCAGCTGTGAAGGTTTGGTTTGGATACACCCCCACTGGTGAGGGCAAGTTCGCACCCAACCACAAAGGACAACAACGAGCTCTTTGTGTAGACACGCTTGATCAATCAAACCCATATGAAGAGGTGTTTTCTTCGCCAAATGCGGAGTTGTTATTTTATCTATAGAGTCTACGACACGAGCTTTTTGCGTTCTTCGGTTCCACTCATCCAGCCCTCTCTGCCCGGTACTCTGCCAGCTCAAGGGGCGTCTCGTACTTTGGGCGTCCAGCGTGCTGAGGGCCTTCTCCTAGATGCGACATCGAAGCAATGAACACCAACCACCAGGTCTCGAAACCAACGAGCAGCGTGCAAAAGTGGTTTTGAAGTGAACCTCTCCAGGCGCGATTCCAGGTCTCGAAAGCGGCGCAGGTCAAAGACACTGAGTCGGAGATCAGGCGGAACGGCGGAACGATTTACTAACACCCATGGGACTGTTTGGGGCAGGAATTCTTGCCCCAATCAGTGAGTGGATGGTTTGCTCAGATCTATGGAGGCTCATAGGTTGTGTCCAGTGGTACAGAATGCTTCTGGGAAACGAATGGGGTTTGCAGCTTCGCCTGGCAGCGCCTTATTTCACCCCTTGGAGCCGACCACCTCGGTGGCCGACCTTGCTCCAAACCGGGGTTCCACTCCCGGCCACCGACTCTCGGGTCCCGATTTGCTTTTAAGAGCCAACCGGTGGTGAACTCTACATGACCATGATTTCAGGGAGAACTGCCCGCAACAAAGCGAACTGAAGGGAATCCATTCCCTACAGGCGGGGCACAGGCGGGGGGGAAGGGGCGAAGGGAATCCACTTTTCCTGGCGACGGTCCAGTTTCGTGGACCGATTCCTTCGCACCGATGGTTGGGCTGTCTGCGTGGGCCGATGGCGTAGCTTTGCTCTTGAAATGTTCCTCCTCCACGGATCTCTTTGCTGATCAACATGTAGAAACTGCTAGATGATGCTAAATGTTGTACTGAGTGCAATGAAGTCCGGAATTGCAGGCAATGCAACAGGCAAGCAGCAAGGGCATCAAATGATGACGAACTATTCAAGTCTTCAAGACCTAGGGAACCGCATACAATCTGAGAAGGAACTCGGCGCTTAAGGTTTGTTGCGCCTCTAGTGTTGAATCATCCGTTGAATATTGTCTATAATATAGGCATCATTGTCAGAGCCAATTCTCGATCGCGATCAACGAACGCCGAACGAACAATGGCGTGTTCATCTGCCACTCCAACCCAACTGATAATCGCTAGAATTCCAGTCAGTTCGACTATATTCAACCGAACCAAATCCACAAAGCTAAAAAACATATATATATATATATACATCATCAAAAATGAATAATATTCTTTGTCGGGTCACCTGAAGACATGATTGAAACATCCTCTTGGACTCCCAGGGTAGGGTTATATATAGCATTGTTGCGAAACTTGATTGCCTGAGGCTTCGTGTCAACTTAGCTCAGCTCTGGGGAAATGACCACGCATATGATGCTCAAACTGCGGTGGCCGACTTCTTCCTCCATCCAACTATATATAGAATGGAGTCCGCTCATGTCTGCACTCTTCAGGGTCCAACCGGATCCTTCGTGATCCTTGGATCTTGGGAAGGCAGCTAATCTCAACACCCTGCCGTCAACCAACCAAGAACAGGAGCGAGTCACAGCACAGTCAGAGCGGCATCGGTCGAGACAAGGGGCCCGGGCGTCTAGAGAAGAAGCCCAAACAGGAGGGCGATAGGACATCAGGACGACCATATTTGGGTTGGTTGATCCCAAATTAGTTAGAACAGGAAGACCTCCAGTGTAGACTGTGTAGACCCCCTGGAGGGAACAAAAAATGATCATAAACCACACGTCCATTGGTGGGTTGAAGTATAAACCCAATGGCTTCAGCCGGCGAAAAGAAGCTACAGGACGATCGATCTGCGGGCAGGGTGCTGCAGGAATTGGTGGAGACCGTTTTTGGTGCGATCTGGCCAAGTAGGGTTGAAGAGTTGGTAAAAACAATTACGGGCCACCTATGGAGGCACGAGTTTCGAGTGGATGGCTGAAGGTGATCCTCCATGATTTGCTTTGCTTTCATGCTTGTTCGTTGTTTCGTGCTCTGGTCTTCCCAGTGGTGTTTTGGTGAATTTGAATGTTGGTGTGTTTTGTGCTCGTGCTTCGGCTCCTTGTAACCCAGCTACAGGGGTCGAACCCGGACCCAGCTACAGGGGCCGAACCCGGACCCTACAGCTAGCCTTGTGCTTCAGGGTCCGTAAGGTTGGACGAATGTTCATGTATTTGAAGTTATAGGTTACCGACCAGGCAAGGCTGCTTGCTTATGCTGTGCTGATTGGTGATGTATAGATACTATTAGTTATTACAAATAATATAATCCTGCGGTTGACCTGGATCTTTTCGAAAGCTTTGAGCAGGTAGGAAGGGGAGAAGACATGTTTAAACCATGTGCAATGCTGGCATCTTCTTGGACCCGTCAAAGGAGCAATGCAGCAGAATGGCATCAACCAAGTCATCAACATTTCTTGGACCCCTCTCTTTTCAATACTAAGAAGCTTCAAAGACATACTAAAGAGTAGTATTGAACATAATTATAGGTCCTGGTGCTTGGTTTGTAATCATTCCAGTGGTTCTTTTGAGGCGCATGCATGTTCGGACCCTCACATCTGAAGGACCAGCACGGGGAGAACTGTACCGATGAAACTCGCTTGACCTTCACCGCCTGACCTCTCGGCTCCTCTTTCAACTTCTCCTTCGGGTCAACCTCCTTGACCTTGAGCACTCGGCTCTCGCGGGGGACTGCCTGGCGGTCTTTCGGCGCTTTTGGGAGAAACAACATGGCGTACAGGGTGAAAGGTTACCTATAGAAGATCTTCTTGGATTGTTGGCCAAAATAAACTGATGCATTTTTTGCCCCAGGTGCTTCTTTTGGCATGTATGATCATGTATATAAATTATATATACGTGTGTGTTTTTTCTATGCATTGTAGATGTAGGAGTTCAGCCTTCGTATTGCAACCAGAGTCCAACCTGTTACACTTGCAATACAAAAAGCAACGAAGACGTGTGCCGCTCTTCAACTCAAAAACAAACATCATCGGTTTGTGGTCGACCACAAACCAATTTACTAATGCTGTTGAGCTCGCCACATACTCATTATCACGTAAAATCGTCTACAGCGACGGGGCAATCACTTTACAAACCTTATTGGTTTGAAGGGTTTTGTGCACAAAGCCTCGGAGACCGTACCCTTCTCTAATGCTACAGTGATCTTCGCAAGAATGAATTGTGGCTCATATTTTGACCAAAACATACCTGGATCTTCCAACTATATGCACATAGTCTGCCCTTTCATTCATCAAACAAGTCACAGGGCAAACATGTTGCATCGTTGGAAGATCCAACCAATACCACGTCGAAACAAGATCAACCTCGTCACCAGAATTGACGTCAAAGCATGTCAAAGCACCGCAGTGTCGTCGCCCACATCTTCGTCTGCTTCCACCTGGACAGGGATCTGCAAGAGAGGAATCTGTAGCACACCGGAGAAGAAACAACCCCTTGTTTGAAGCCAACAAGACCATCAGCACCACCTTTCAACTCCAGTAAAATGAGGTCGAACTGACCTGTAGGGTCATGTCTTTCCCTTTGACTTTCAATATGTCGGGGCCTGGTTTTTAAGAGAAGGATCGCCACCCTTTCCGGCGGGCTCGACAAAACCCCAGGCGTATAATTGTATGTTCAAAACTTAAAACTGTTGTTTGGTTGCCAGCGGAACGTATGCTTGTGCTCACTGACATTGTGTCACATGAATGAGCTCAACGTATCGCAACATACCTTCTAACAAATCCGTCTTAAACAGCTCAGAATGAAGCTGCCTAGCTGTTGGAGCTGGAGTCTCCATCAAGCAGCAATCTACGAAAAAAGGCTCCGACCACCAACGGGCAAAGGCTGATTGGTTTGATGAGTTTCGATGAAAAGCTGAAACATCATCTTCTGAGCAACCCTAGTCAACTCCTGATCTCGAGTCAAGTGGCTTCTAAGTAGGCTGCCCCAGTCATGGTACTTCTCCTCAGGTCACTGAGGAAGCAAGCTTCTGCACATGTTGGGGTGCCGAACATCAGTGAGCCTGCCAAGAAAAACTCTGGCATTCTATGCTTGGACACTCCAACAGGTCAATTGAGGCCTGACCTCCCGTGGTCCCTGAAACAGCCCACGCCAAGGCTCACTGCCACAACGCTGCCCCGCAATTCTCGACTCCTTAGACACAGGATCACTCGGACACCCCTCACCTCACATGAAGGACCATCGGTCGGAACCGGCATGGAAGAGTTGAACGAGCTAAGTGACCTGGTGAACGAGAAGTGCGTGCCTTCATGGCAACGACGTGAGGCTCAACGGTGCGCTACATTGACAGGACCCAAGCTGGTCTGCGACTTGTCAGCGTTGCTGCCTTTGCTGCCGTTGCTGCTCGAGATTTTGGGACGAGTTGGGCATATCGTCGCTTCCGCGAGGGCCAAAGCCTTCTTGTTGGGATCTTCGGTTCCGGACTCCCTTTGAATGACCTCTATTTTGGACCAACCCAAAGATGGGCCCTTTCCTCCCAAAACGAGGGTCCAATGGCTTCTGGGATGCTCTGGGGATCAAATAAGATCAAAGGTGCCAAGCCAAAACCGACTCCCCTAGCCCTCGCATGACCAAAACCGCCGGTGATTTTTCATGTTCCGCTCGTCTCGTCATAAACGATCAGGCCCAGGTTCACACACCTCATCAATGAGTTATGATCCTTGACCGCATTGTCGCGTGTCAAAACGATGTGATCCGTCATCTCGTGGATCAACAGCAGCCTCGTGGATGGCATGGAGCTTCAGAGAAACGCATGGAGCTTCAACACCAGTCTTCACCGGTGTTTGGAACCGGTTCCAGTTTTAGGCGCACAAGCAACTCCCAAATGTATCCAAATGTGTCGGCCGCGGTGTATCATGACTTTGGTTGTATTCAGAGGGTCTGTGGTTTAATGCTAAAAATATTGCACTGTTCCGGTCCGTAATAAAGTCAGTTGTGACATATATTCAGCATCAAACTAGTTATGAACATGTGTGCACGTTGTAGGACTCGTAAGTTTGGAAAGTCAGATCTGTCGCACTAAACATGGTATCGAAGAAATGTGCGACGTTAATCAACGTGTTACCCACATTTTTGGAAGATGTTGTCTCGACGTAATGACAAAATCAAATGCAGGCATTTTAAACAATCTACACCCTAAGAAGTCCATGTATTTTGTCGTTTGGCTCTGCCAAGTGTAATTAAATGGAATTTCCTTAACTTGGGTAAGACCACCTTTAAATTTGTCTTGGACTGTCAGGGTGGCTATCGCGTATATAAAAATGCTTGAGCAAAATCATGTGTTACAGCGAGCATCGATCTGCGTCGACCAACATGCTTCGACGTTCACAAGGTTAATTCCAAACCCTACAAGTGAATGGCTCAATGATCTCATTTTACCGGAGTTGGTCATACAAAAACACTACTCAAGAAGGTTTAAAACAAGGAAAAAAACTTTAAAAAAACAAAAACGGTTTTTACTGGGGCAAACTGGACTTGTAGGAAAGAATTGCTTAACAAACACATACAAAACACATTAAATGCCGTGAAGAGCTCGCGGTCTCAAAACTATGAAAGCTTCAAAGTCAAAGTCAACCTTGTTCTGTGAAAAGCAGTTTTCAACACAACAGTTGCTGTTGATTTGAAAAGGGTCGCGCCATGGGCCTTGAATACAACCAAACACACGGGGGATGCGCGAAAAAGCGGTTCCCCCCGGTGTGTGAGATAGGTTGCTGATTCTGACCGTCGTCCACGCTCAGAAAAGTCTATGCACCCCCTATAACTGATATAAAAAGCAAATGAAATGCATCTTCTCTCCTCGTTTCTCCTTCCCTGCAATAAGTTAAATCGACACTTATGAACATGTATTTAAGACTATTAAAAGAGGAAGCAAGGAAAGGAACTGACGCTGTTGCAGTGCCAGAAAGGAGAAAACCCTTTTCAGTGCCATAAGAGAGAATTGACACTTCTTCAGTGCCATTGGACGACAAGCAAAGAAAGGACAAAAAAACAGTGAACCCTGGAATCCAGGGAAGTTTTGCTGGACACCGCGATATAGTATGCTCTGAGTTGAGCTAATTCAATCTAATTCATCTAATTCACCATAATCTATTTCTATTAGAGTTACTGTATATGTACAAATGATTCCTGACATCGTTGACACTCCCTATGACCCCCCTACCAAAAAATGATTCCACCCATTGGCATACCCCGTGGAATCATTTCTTAGCGCTACCCCAATCCAAAAATGACTGACTAGTGACTAGTGCATGAATACTCGGCACATTTGGTACGGCTTCATGTTTGCTGTTAAGATAGCTGAGCGCGTCAATCCAAATGGTACTGTGGCAACATCGGTTGATGGTTTCGAAGAGATGCAACCATCGTCTTGCGGCAAAACGACCATCTTGGCTACGACTCTTGCTACTCCAGCCACCGCCACAGGCTGCGGCTGTAAGCTGATGCAGCAACTGGACGCAACGCTGTGATCCAGCAACAACTGCTGAAGGTAAACCCAAGAAAACGACTGCAGCATGTGAGGCGACTGAGGAGTCTCTTTACACAGCCAGGACAAATCAGGGGAGCAAATCTGGGTTTGTATCAAAATAGGGAGACCTCCAAAAGAAACCCCATTGGTTGGGGGTCTGTCTCCCTATTAAAATGCACACCCATTTGGGTGTTCTGAATCCCTGTGCGCAAGCTTCACACAAAAGCTGATGTCAAGTGTCTGCCGCGCGCACAGGCCAATAGAGCTTGGCCATGAAAAAAGGCACCATCAAACAAGTTGAAACTTGGATGTGCTTAAGGAACCGGAAGGGGAATTCACCTGCAGGTCACCTAAAAATCAACTGAGAAAGCCTCCAAACAAACACAACCTCTCTTCGACCCGTGTTGCGACCTCTTCACTCCACTGTCCGCCACAACCCGCCAAGCAACAACCCCCGATTCATCTCCTCCTGGAAGGTCCGAAAAAAACGCTCCGTCCACCGTCGCCCACGGTGCATACCGGACGAGCGACGTCGCTCGTCCCGAGGGTGGTCAAACAATATCTGTTAAGAGTCGTAGGATGTCGCAGGTCATGATATTCCACGCATGTTCTTCTTAGGGCTGGAATGTTGAAGCCAAACCGGAAAAAAGGACCGCGGCAAACAACGGTTGAGCCCAAGTGAAGTTGAGCAGCAAGAAAGGATGAAGACCTGCACTTAGCAAACAAATGCTAAAACATGTATATATTAATACCAGTACTAAATACACATTACACCCTGGCCTTCAAAAACCATCAACAGAAAGGTTGACCTGGTTTTGTAGTCTTAACATCCTTAGTAACACAACAGCTGTTGGAATCTCGGTATGTGTATATATATATATATACACAGTATATACACACTACATCTATACATACAACTTTTAAAGCCTATTGTAGTTTGCATCGGGTTGACCATCTATATAGTCTAGAGTCAAACGGGATTGAGCCAACAGTCCCAAGAGGGGCATACAAGCAACATAACGGGGGCGACATGTCTCCGCCCGAGATGTATATAAAATAACAATACACATGAACGGCCATATGCAAAAAGAGTCTCATGGACGCAAACACAGGATTCGGCCATGAAGCGCCGAATGTAAAAGGCCACTCGATGCCACGACACTTTTCCCCACTGATGCCGCTCCTGGAAATGCTGCAGCGGCAAATCGTTGGCATCGCTGCCAAAGGGCATTTCCAGTTGTGCGCCTCAGTTGCCCAATCAGGCAGACGAGGCTCAGCGCGCAGAGTCCAACGAAAGTCCAACAAAGCAAGGCGCTGTGACTGGTCAAAACGACCTGACTGGTCAGGTCACGACCTGACTGAGAGGCGACTGGCTCAACACTGAAAACCAGCGAGCATTTTGCCGAAACCATGCAACAAAATGCAACAAAGCCCTGCCCAGCTTCCCCAACGAACCACCCGTATAGACCCCAGAAGGCTAAGTGTAGGAAGGAAAACCACACGAAACATCACGAAACCATTGGTCATGGGGTGGATTCACCTTAGTGCAGTGGTGTTCATTTGAAATGCTCCCTTTCTCTCACTTCCGAAGCTCACCATCATGTCGGCCAACTGATCTATTTCAATTTTGCTGAGGCTGGGACAAACGATGTTCAGGGCGATGATGCTGAAGACCGGAATGAAGGTCACCAACATCGCCCATGCATATCTCAGCGTCTTCGCCCACGTTCGAATTCAGCGTCTTCGCGGCTCACAGGTAAGTTCGCGACACACAGGTAAGTTCGCTGCTGGGCTTCAGCAGCTAAAATCATGTTTGGGGTGACAATTGCAGGACATTAGCAAAGGGCCATGAGGAGATATCGAGATTACTCAGAATTGAGTGAGAGAAAACAGGGTCACGTGATCTCTGACTGCTTGATGAGAGCATGCTCACGGCTGGGGCGGCCATTTGTTTCACAGGGTGGTAGCAGGAAAGTAATCATATATTGCGCCTACCTGATACCAGCAGTAATGATGATACATTTGTTGCAGGCCTTTCCTTAAATTGATGTCCTTCTTTACCGACGGCTCTATATATTCTATATACAGGTTTACTAGGACGGACCCAAACCAAGTTCATCGGCTGTCTTTGACCCTGCAACAGCGGCAACACGACATGCAAACAAGGCACTGCTTAATAATCGCGGAGACCACCAAAGGCGTTGAGATGCAATAAGACACAATCAGCCTGCGCCCGGAGCCACACCCTGTGGCTGCCACCAAGAAAGACGATCTAGGATGGGCTCCTAGCACCACTGCTAGCTTCCCGTTCATGCTTGGTGTCCATGATGTTGCAACAGTTCCCGAGATCATATTTTGCTATGTTTAATGTTAGAAACTTGAAGCCCAACCCATTCATCTGGCACCGCCGGTCACGTGGTCCCCCATCAATCGATCTACGAACAGCAATGCCGGTGACCCGGAGTCCACCCGGGTGACGTGGAGTCGACCAAGCGACTCCAAGTCGACCCCTTGGAGTCGCCATCGGTTGTCTCACCTGACTCCTTGAGAGTCGAGAACGGGTCCAAGTTGCACTTCCCCTCAACAAAAGACACACTGGACAACCCAGCGGGATCTCTTGTGGCGACGCGAACTGTGAGTTTAAAATTGGGAGACCGAACCAAAAGGATCCAAGTCGGGCGTGCTTATGAGGCAGCCACTTTGCAGCCCAAACCCATCCAATCCATTGGGACTGAGGCAGGTGGGCCCACTTAGTGTTGGAGAATCCTCTTGTCACTACAAAGTGGATTTGCCCCGGTCCCACTACTGTTCCTGGAAGAGACCCACAGCTCCATGTTCATCCATTGATCAGGCTCGGGTGGACCGCTTCCCGGGTGGACGCGCTTCGCCCGGTCACCACCCGTTGGCCGTACAAACGTCCGTCCCGGCAGAGAGACGGTGGTGCAGCCAGGGCGCATGGTGATAATCTGAGCCCAGGGAAAGGGAAACCGTGTGTCTGCAATCTTCTTGGCCTGATGCTGAAGTTCTGGTCAGCTTAGGTCATCGAAGGCCAGGTCGAAAAAACGTGGGAGAACAACATGTTCTTCTGCCTATCAAACTATCAAAGAAGGCTGCCAACCTTTCGATGACACTTCCTTTCTGTAAACAGGACTCTTCTAAGATGTACGTCAACTTCCGGCACTGTGCAAAGCTGGACTCCAAAACATGAGAGAATTCTTTCTTGAGAGCTATAGAGCCCTCATTTTTGTATGATGATTGTTAGGTTGCAGGTCTGGACCCCCAAACACGGTGATCATCTCTTGCCCACTGGCCGACTGGGACATACTGGGGACAAACCCTTCGCTCGCAAGGGCTTTTGGACCCGAGTGACCGATGACCAAGTGACGACCTACGTAACTGCCGACTGGCCGCACTTCATGGATAATGGGATATGTGATCTTTCTATCTATATATTGGTTGACCTGGGGTCAATGTGGGCACACACATATATATATATACACCAGTCCCAATAGTCATGTCTGGGACATTATATATAGTAATTTTCTATATGTGCGTATTATCCTATTACCTGTAACAGTAACAGTGGATGATGATGGTTAGTAGAGGCCTTGTCCACAATTAGTGATGTTCTTGTTGACTGACTGCTGCAGGGTTGCTAGGACAGACCCAATACATTGACCCCTGAAACCACCATGGAGGTCAATCTTTCAGTCCAAAGAGCGGAGCGAGACTCGGATCACGTTGTGCGGCTTGGTGCGGCTTAGCTTTAGGGTTGGGCGCCTTCACCTATAAATACTCAGGCTTGCATAGCTGTGCCATATCCTTCCCTGTGTAGAGAACCTCCTGTTATATATGATATGTTATAACCTGGCAGGAGTCTACACAGGCTTACCATCCACTTAGGAGATATCTTAAGCCGTGCCGGCCAGTATAAACATCTCATGACATCTCCCCCGGTCCACTTTTGTCGAATTGGTTCAGCAAGAGTTGCTGATTCTCACAACCTCCGTACAGTCTATCGACATAATGTTACCTATAAAACATTCATACCAAAAGCCTCTGCTCTACGCCCTTCTTGGCCTGAACCACGTCAAAAACACCGTAGTCTGGAGAGAAAAAAGTCGATGAAGGCTCCATACTTCCGTGGCCAAGTCGCATTGAGCAGGTTCACAAAGCCTCGCCTTGGACCGTTTTTTTGTTCGCAGACCGGTGTGAGTCGAAGGACACGTCCATCACCGCTACAGTGGACCTGGAAAAAGGGTGTCTATTTTTTTCACACGCTCGAAGCAAATCTCAGGGTCCAATGCAGTTGTATGCAGTTGTCTATTAGGTGTATCCCATTACCAGGGCCCAGTGGATGATGATGATGATGATGATGATGATCGATGGTTAGTAAAAATGCTGGCCCAATGATCTATGCCACCAGTGCCGTGCCAAGATTTGCCCAAGATCCGAGTTCCTCGGCGTTCGTCGCGACCTCCTTCCTCCCAAAAATTTCCAGGTCCCACCCCAAGGCAAGGTCGGTAAGTATACCTCGATCATATCATCCTGGATCTTTCATGGCAGAATTTATTTCATTGTTGGAAAATCCAGGCATGGAGTGTCGGGTTCAAAACCATCCTCAAAATATTCAATCATATCCTGGATCCTCTTAATTAACACGCTGCCTATCTATAATGCATGGCCTCCTATTGTGGCCCTTGCCACAGCTTCAGAATGGCAGGACCTGCTTCACTGGCTGGGCGGACGTCCAGAGTTGCCAGCCAAGCTTCGAGAGTGTCTGATAGACCTGGGCCGAGGAAGTGTTCAGAAGGACAAGCTGTGGATGCAATGCTCTTCGTTGTCATCAAGAAAGGTGCTCAGTGCTCTTCGTTGGATGCAATGCTCTTCGTTGCTCTTCGTTGTCATGGTGCTCTTCTTTTGGATGCAAGCTGTGGGTGTCCAAAAGAAACCCCCAAAATGCATGGTGCTCGTCGGTTTCTAACCCATCTGTGCAAGGCGACGGAGGCCGGGGATGATCCACAAGCCATTGTCTTTAGATGACTCGAAGAAGGAATTACCTGCACTTTCAGCGGTGTCAAATCATGTCAAATATAGTCAGTGGACTTCAAATGTAAGAGTATAGGCCGGATTTGATCTGAACCTGCAAAGTTGCCGGTGAGCTGGGTGTTCGTTCGGTATGGCTGAAGTTGCATGATTTGGCAACTGGTCCCGGCAGCCATCAGCGGGCAGCGGTGCAAACGCAGCGACCACAGGAGACGTGAAGTCCCTGGAACTCACGTGGCGGTGGAAGATGACCTCGTGGGTCTTGGAAGACCTTTTTCCTCTACAAACTGGCAGTTTTCCACTTCCATGTTAGTTCCAGGGAGTGTTTTTTCGCATCCCGGCCCGCAGTTCACATGTGACGCGCGGTTTTTCCCATGGTTTCCCCGAAATCACGGAACTTGCGTTCTATGTAACGTGTCGCTCGCCGAGGAGCTCGCGAAAGGATGGGAGGGGGAATGGTCAACACTCCGATCTGTTGGTTGTAGGTCACCAAATTCTGGATCATGTGCTGCAGAGCCTGGGCCGAACAGGCGATCAGGTGCAGGGCGGGACCTCCTCGCGTTGATTTTTGGGAGGGGGACGACGACGTTTTCGCTTTCGGAATGGTGGACCAGTGAACCTGGCTACTGCATGGAAGAGCTACCTTTTGGGGGGCATCCAAAATGAGCACCTGGACCCTGCCCTAGAACATGGGACCTGACCCCATTTAAAAACAATGGTACTGGATTCTGAATTCTTGATGGTACTTGTGCCCATTTTCTGAGGCACTTCTTTTACTCCGTCTGTCCGGCATGATGATCTGCTCTCCAGGTCTGGTGAGAGCCAGATGTCGCCGTTGGGAACTTTGGACCGAGTCCAAAGATCACCCAACAGAACTGCGAAGTCCCGTGGATCTCAGATGGTTTGAGCTACAGTGGCAGGTTCGATGGCACTGGCACCCTAAGATGTCTTTTTTCAAGATGGGGGTACCATATACACCACCTCTTGGGCATTGTGCCATCTACTCTGAAACCACTGTACATGGATGGGCGGTCTCTCGATAGAATGTTTTTAGGGCATTTTAGGGTCAAACTAGTAGGTATGTAGTATTAATATATACATATATATATATATTAATAATCCATACATGCTTGGTCTGAGCATTGGACTGGATCTGTACATATCTGTACATAAAGACCTTCAAACAAATCAACAACATGAAGTTTGAGCAATCTTCCAGAACCCATGGTTGTTTGCGAATGTTCCACAATCCCTTACGATGACTTGAGATCACTGGAGGCTTCCCATGTGTCCATCACTTCTACTGTACGGTAACTGGTCGGATCGGGAGGGGCAAAAAGGCTTGAAGAGGCACCCGGAGCTTCGAAATCGAAGTCCATGTGGGCATGAAACCTGCTGGGCCAAGCATGCCTTCACACCCATGTCGCTTCTGAGCGCCGGATCATCCCGTTGAATTGGGCCAATCCGATGATTATGGCCCGGGGAGTCGCCTCTGGGCTAACAAGCAACATGGTTCCATTCTGCCATCTGCGGAACATCTCGATCTTCTGTGTACTAAATCACCAGAAGGGTGCCTCACCCTTTGTGGGATTTACTGCCAGATTTCATGGGGATTGACAGGATCCAGAAGCAGAATAGCCATGTCTGCTACTTCACTTCTTTCTCCCCCAAGCTGTGGACATCCCTCTATGACCTCTATCCTAAAGCATGAAACAGCACGAAAAACATGACGAACACCTGTTAGTCCAACTCACTCAGCTAAAACTCGAGCCCGAACTTTCCACGGGCTTGGTCCGTTGAATAAACAATTACACGCACAGCATCTCAAAGCCGCCATTTTCTAACAGGCGTTACCAAAGAACCATGGTTTAATACTCAAGATATCTCAAGATTTTACACTACAAAAGCCAGGTCAAACATTGCATTTTAACAGTCTTGGAAGGATGGGGAATTCTTCTCGATTGATGATCGATGCTCATTGGCCTTTTTGGGGGCCTGCTCCCATGAACGGTTGAGCAAACTCCATCCACAATTTCGATGCCAAGTCTCTTCGACCTTGTTGAAGCCATAAACATCATAGCAGTCCCTGAACCAAGACATGCAACGTGGCCGACGCCTTTCGACGGCCTTTGGAGGCCCAAACAACCCGAGCTCCATGCTCCCTGCTGGTCAGAATTCGCTGGTGGGGCCCAGGCCGGCGTCGCGGATCCAAGCGGATTGTCTCGAAGCACCAAAAAGGGATTGGACATGAATTGGAGTATGCCCAGGAAAGGAAAGGAAGACTACAAGCTATAAAAGAAAAACAACATATATATATATATATAGTGGAACAATTACATAATATACAACAATTACAGTGCAGATATCCATTCAAATCATAAGACAACCTACCACGCGTGACAGGGACACGCACACAGCAGGCCACACGTCCTCGTCAAAACCACTTGAGTGCCGCGCCTGAGAAATCTGAGGGTGTCGATGTCGAGACCGGTGATGTCCATGCAAACCTGCCCCCCAAAAAAATCAAGACGGCGCATCGAGCCACGTAGACAAGGTCAGCCGCGGCCGGGGAAGGCAGTGGATGCCCCAAATACCATCAAAGGCGGCATACCAGGAGTCACAAAGTGACAAGACGGGGTGCCGAACTGGGGGGAGGTCGGGGTGCCGAACTGATCCACTCGCTGAATGGGACTAGACACCCCGGTACTTGTCCCCTGGCACATCTAATCTGCGCGCCGGTGAGGCGAAGACACCGCCCGAAGGATCGGGTCAACATGGACGATGGACTCAAGCAGCTTGCGTTCAGATAGGCTGAGACGGCTCAATCGCGGTACACATGGGTACGGAAAAGGGCGCCTGGAATCAAAGAGGCCTGGAGAAACAAAGCTCTTGCCCGGCCCCATGCGACTTTTGTCATACACATCCCTGAGATTTAGGACACTCAAAACACACACTTCGACAATTGTATTCAGTTATCTCGATTCCCACGTTGAGAAGGATGGCGAAGAACCGCAAGGTGGTCAAGTCAGCTGGAAAAGTATGGTTGAACAAATTTTCCAAAGGTGCAAGTCTGCGATCGGTGGCTGGCTGCAACTCACGAGCGGTTGAGAAATCTCAGCTCCAAAAAACCAAGGTTGGGGGGGTGGAAACGTGAAGGACCATGAACCAAAACGTGGAGAGTGGAGTCACAGCTTGATCAAACGTTCCGTCAGCGCAGGTACGCCAGGATGGCCAATCCTGGTATCCCGTGTTCAGACTAGCTTCGTTGGGCGTAGTCATCTGAACACGCTACGCCCCCCTGCTGGTGGAAATTGCTTTCAGGGTGGAAAACGGGGGGGAAAGTAGAACGTCAGTAGCGGTGAACCCTTGGTCCAGGGGTTGACACACACAAACAGCCGATTCCGGCGCAAGTGTGTAAAACGTGGAAGGTGGATCTTTGTACAAAAAGCGCCAATATTGGCGCTGCGAAAAACTAATAGCCACCTAAAAAGCCTTAGAAAGACAGACAAAGCAAACAAAACAAAAGCAGACTAAGAGGGCAAGAAAAGAAAGATAGGGGTAGTTACGAGGCCCACTTAGTTAAATGAAAGTAGAGCGCGAGCGGGACATTTGTCTTAAACCGCCCGGGTAGCTAGCAATAGGCTAGGAGAAACAGAAGGAAAGGCACCAACACACAAGTGTGTTGAGTGCGATTTCCTTCTGTTTCCCGAGTAGCGGGTGGGGTAGCAACGGAGGCCCAGGGGTAGGGAGGGGAAAAATGCACGATTAATTCATCCGGCCTGTGAATACTTAGCAGCACATGCACATGTGAATACTTAGCCGTCAAACATCTCAAAAAACAGCAAGTGTTGCAGAACTGTCAAAAATGCAAAAAACTGCACAGCACTACAGAAACGGCTGGAGAATCAATTCCCGTGGTGAGGCTCGGCAGCCTTGATGTCGGTTAATTCAGTGATTGTGTCAGTGACTTCCGGTGGAAATCCCGTGAAAAGTGGTGAGTTCCGTTAATGATTTCCCAATGAAACGGCGCCTCCTTGCGGAGGATCACACTCAGCACCCGAGTGGGACGGCTGAGCGAAACACACTTCGACAATTGTATTCAGTTATCTCGATTCCCACGTTGAGAAGGATGGCGAAGAACCGCAAGGTGGTCAAGTCAGCTGGAAAAGTATGGTTGAACAAAGTTTCCAAAGGTGCAAGTCTGCGATCGGTGGCTGGCTGCAACTCACGAGCGGTTGAGAAATCTCAGCTCCAAAAAACCAAGGTTGGGGGGTGGAAACGTGAAGGACCATGAACCAAAACGTGGAGAGTGGAGCCACAGCTTGATCAAACGTTCCGTCAGCGCAGGTACGCCAGGATGGCCAATCCTGGTATCCCGTGTTCAGACTAGCTTCGTTGGGCGTAGTCATCTGAACACGCTACGCCCCCCTGCTGGTGGAAATTGCTTTCAGGGTGGAAAACGGGGGGGAAAGTAGAACGTCAGTAGCGGTGAACCCTTGGTCCAGGGGTTGACACACACTACACACACACACACACAAACTTGTCACTTGTCCAAGCTGCTCACCAAACACGGATCGTGGAACAAATAGGAAAACAACAACAACCCACAACAGCTTAGCCGCTTAGCCGGTCCAAAGCCTGACCTGGTCAGATGTTCAGCTTCTACTCGCACGTATACCATCCTCCTCGCTCGGTGGACCCAGCGCCGCACGGTGCGCGACAGCCGCCTGTCCGGCGGCTCCTTCGCCGCAAATCTCGTCCAAGGCCGAACCGTGCCTCGCGACGCGAACGGTGAACGGTGAACGGTCGGGCGGACCAACGGAGCGCCAACAGGGACAACAGTCCGGTCCAGTCACTGGAAGCCAGGCTGAGGGTCTCTATGATTGGACCGTCTCTTACGGTGGAGGTCAGCGGCTCTGGCGGAGGGTCCAGTCACTGGTCGTTCGGTCTAGACTGACCCAGTTTTTGTTGACCTGCAGAGCTGAGAGTTGTGTTTTTATAGGACCAAGTCCAGTCAAATTTGTCCAATGAGGTCAAAATCACCTGTAGATAATGGTATGATTTGGGATGATATGGGTATATATTCTGTTAACCAGGGCCGACTGGATGATGATGGTTAGGGGGCCTTGCGCAAAGATAGTGATCGGTCATCTTTTACCCGCTGTTGCTGGTCATGGGGCACAATGTATCACTGACATATACTAACATCTTGAAAACCAATTCTACGGGCAATTGTATGAGTCATACATGCTTTTCAGAGGATGCCACAATAAATACGACGGTGCTCATATGTCATAGGGGTGCCTAACCCCAAACACGGTCCTTGACTCAGCAGAGTCAGCTCTGGCCGAACACGATGCAAATCTTCGTTTCACTATAGAAAAGTAGATCCCCACATATCCCCACTAACAATGTATTATTGGATACTTGGGGACCACTATATCGAACATTTAGGGCTTTGTTTTCCACTACGGCGAGTCCGACCACGCCAAGCGCGTCATCTCAGCCAGCGGCATGACGCTCGCCAGGCGGACCAAGGTGTTGCCTGGGACTTTTCGGTGTCGCCAGTCGGAGGGGTGTGGAGGTCGGAAAAAGCGCCAGAACACCGGCTGTGAAGAACAGCCCCAAACGGCTGGTTTGAAGGAACATGTGCAAACAACAACCTCTACAGGTGATTACAGGTGTGTGTGTGTGTGTGTCTGATTGTGTGTATGTGTGTGTGTGCATGTGTGTGTTGTGTTTGTGTGCTTCTCGTGAAGAGATTGAAGTTAACGAACACCTGGCCACAAACTTGAACAGCCAGAATCCAGGATCAATCAATTGCTCATCCGCAGTGGATAAAACAGCCCCCCGTGTGGACACATCCGGTTTTCCAGCAAAATAGGGGTTCAAATTGATCAAACGTGTGTTTGTGTGTGTGTGTGCCTGGCTTCTCCTAAAGCACCTTAGTCTTAAGAACATTTTGAATGGGACATCACCCTACAACAAAGCAGGTGCTGCACCCATTTCTTGAGGACTCCAAATGACTCCAGGTGCCTCAGGGTGCCTTGGCTTTCAATTCTTTAAGGGTCCACAGGGTCGCCCACCCTCACGTGGCTTCCATTTTGTTCGCCCGCGTGCCCGGTGGTTCTCGGCTGGTGCAAGACTGCGGTCATCCGCTTGGCATGGCGCGGCTTTTGCGAAGCGGCCGGGTTCGGGTGCCAAGCGCAGTGGAGAGGACTCCAGGACTGGGTTGATCATGTTGGAAAGAGCGCATCACCCATCCGATGGTCAAGCCCATCCTACCAAGCCTCAACAGGCCCCAAACCAAGCGAATGGGGAACAATTGTCCCTGGGTATCAGGAAGCTGAGGCTTTCTCTCTAACAAGCACGTCTTCGTGCATTGAAGTGTATTGACAGCCGCAGTACCTGCCCAAGAACTTCGGAAACTCGAGAGTTGCCCCCCCTGCGCAGGAGCCCCGCCAGCTCGCCACTCCGGAAGTGCCACATGCGTATAGTCTGGAGCATGCACAGGCGCCAAACAAAGTTCCAACAATGAGAGTCTGGATGATTCGTTGGAGACTTCAGGAACCCCAAATAAATGCCCTACAGGTCAATTGATCTCACTGGAGAGGTCATACTGAAGCACTACTCCAGCAGGTCCTGGACCGACCTGGGTCCAGGACCTCCGCGGTCCATTTGGAGGTCCAAATGGAGGGGCCCTGAAGTCCTGAGGCAGAAATCACCCGTACGGCAGTAGTACGGCACCCTCCTTTCAGCGTCTGATTTGGGACGAAATGCAATTGACATGGGGAAATGGGTGCGTGATTCTGGCCCGAGGTTAGAAAGCTAGGCTCTATATGCACTACAGCTATAAGATTGTGAGACTTGGCTCACCTTTGATCCATTTCAAATCACTGGGTGTGAGAAGCACATCTCTGACCACACTTGTGTTTCCCTTCCTCTCTCGGACAACCAGGCACTCTTGTCCGTGGGCCACTGGAATGTCAACACATGTCACCTTTAGCAACGCTATTAAACCATGAAACGCTTTATGTTTGCTGAGATCACTTATTGAATGGTCCAGTCAAAAAGACTTAAAGAAAGACTTGGACAAGAAAGGTCTAATCTAACCAAATAGGGTGCGAAATGTTGGGGTGATTTGGGGCGAAGGCTTTTCATGCTTTTGATTTGGGGTCCTTGCATGTGATGTTCGGGTAGGATTTGCATGTATCTATATAGCAATGTCATCTAACAAGAGTGCTTTCGATTGAAATCAGCGGATCTCCCTCTCCAAAAATCAAGTTGGATTAAAAAGGCACTGGTTTGCAGGGAATATCTCGTTTTACTAAGGGTTCAAAAACACTCTAATTATGGTGATTGAAAGGACAGCATGGCTTCACTATTCGCCACCCATTCCACCCATGTCTTCACCGTGACCGCTTCAGTGGCTTCACCCGCTGCTCCGCCAGCAGCGCGCCCTCTGCGTCGCGCGCAGCGCGCGCCAGGCGCAGCGCCTGCCGAGCATCTCGGAGCTTCTTGGCCTCCCAGAGTGTCCAGAAGGCGTTCATGTTGACCGGAGCCGATGATTTTTCGTGGGGGTTCAACGGGTTCAACAAACGAAGCATTTTGGAGTCAGTGGGTTCCATGATCCCAATCCCTAGGGCCCTAGGGTTCCAAGTACCTTCTAAAGAAGGTGGGTTGAAAATAGAAATCACCAAAACCACCACCTGGGGAAGGTCTCTTCTTAGAGAATGACCCTGGTGAATGGTCCACAAACTGCCGCCCTCGGAACGCTGGTCTTTCCAGGGGCCGTGTCACCCACTTCCATCGTCGAACGTGTCGAACGTGTCGGGGCTCACCACGGTGGAACCGCCCCACCCGAATGGAGTCGTTCAGCGTCCCGGAGCGTGGCATATAGCGTCCCCTCACCGTGTAAACCTCGCATCGCTCCAGGAGGTCCACGGTCCAAACCTGGTCCTGAAAACCTCTCAACGAGTAACATGACGAGCAGGTTTTTGATGACGAACCTGGTCAATTCGTGAACTGAGTAATCATGAGGTCTTTGACTTGTAGGGAAGGTTGACCATATCCGGTATAGACTTGTAGGTCTTCCATGTCTGTCAGGCAAAGGCGAAGATCCTAAAAGACTTGTCACAAGATTGGACTCTCCGAAGTCGTCTGTTCTGTTCATGAGCCCAGAAGTCCACCAAGAAAAGGACATTAAAAAAACACATACTGTACATGAACCCGAAGTCGCTCGCGCCCAAAGCGCCCAGCCACAAAAAAGGCACCACTTCTGTTTCAGCCTCGCACGAGTTCTTCATCCAAGGCTCCAGATCAAACACTCAGTGCGCTCCGAAAGCCCACACTGAGAGCTCATGGAACGTGACAATAATAGATGGATTCAGCACACGGATGCAGTAATGCATCATTGAACTATATTGCATTTACTATTGAATTTGTGAATTACTCAACAAGTTATGCAGGGTTCTGCCCCGCGATGAAAGCGAGGCCAAAACAGACCTTTCTTCGGGAACCGAAGGATCCTAAACGATCACTTAAGGGAACTGCAGCGAATAGAAGCAAGCAAAGACTTCGCACACATGAGCCGCACTGGGTGCCCTATGGCGCCCTAGAATCTGTACACGTGCTGCGCATGGCGCTCATGGGTCTCTTCGCGACGGGCGGAGGCAGTGCTTTCCTTATCCAGTTTCTCCAACTCTGGCAGGCACGGCTTTTGGAGCCCCTTCTCGGAGCGGATGCAGTTGGAGCCCCTCTCAGCAGTCTTCATTCGGGCCGTCCCCGCGGGATCTGGTAGAGGTAGCGAAGAGGTGGCCGGATCTGGGCCGCGTGGGAGGTCGTCTTCGGGGGCACCTGTGCCATCTCTCAAATCTTCGCATGACTCGTCAGGCTCATTTAAGGCCAAATTGGTGAGAGTCACTGCCCAGGAGGTCATGCTGGAGTCGGTGGAGGCTGTGGAACTCAGAGATGGTTTTCGCTCCATGATATCTGTGATGCTTTCCCCGCACGACTTGAGCCTATTCCCGGAAATGCGGGGCAAGATTGAAGCACTTGAAGGTCATCTCGGATGGATCCTGTACGGACTTTTCAGCAATCCCTTGCTTGCAAAAACCAGGAGGTCCTTGAAGGACCTGACGATCATTACTACTATATATTCCCTTTATATACAAATCTTTTGCCTTTAGATGACAAAGGATCCGCGGCAAAAACCCCATCTTACATACTGTGAAACTGTGACCTTGACCGCCTTGGCCTGCATTGGGAAACGCCAAACAACTCACTGTTGACTTCTTAAAACTATCAATCCTTGACCCTGTCGGCCCCCGGCCCCCGCAAACACACACTTATAGAAATGCGTACTGATTTTGGTTGCGGTTTGCCCTTTAAAGAAAATCACAGCGTGGTTAACAGTTCAAAAAGAGCAGGTACGTGGAGTTGACCAGACTCCATATCAGTCGTGGCATAGCCCTCTTCGTTGGGCAACCAGTGCTCACGAGGTTGCCCCCCTGCAACTTGAAAGACCTTCAAAAACAATCCTCAGGATCCCTGTGATTCCAAGGGTTACACACACACGCCTCCCCGAGGGGAGGCGAGAAGCACTAAGGTCAGGGCAAAAGTGTGAGTGTGTGCGCAGAAAGACAAAAGAATGAAGACATGAAGAGGAGACACGACGGGACAAAGGTGTGTGTGGTTGCAATGAAAAGGAACCAAGTGCACAGGAACAACCGATGACAACCCACCTCATTGTAAGGACCTGGGCTGGGCGACCTAAAGCCTGAGTTGAAAGTAGGTTGCGCATGTACATACTAAGGGCCGAGCCATGTGTACGCAAAAGAAGGAAAGAGATGCGATGACAGGACATGAAGCAAGGGAAGACATGAAAGAAAAAAAATAGAAAAGAAGTGCGTCAAGGGGAAAAAGGATGAAAAGGGGAACCGGATGGAGGGGACGGGAACCGATGAAACCAAACCTCATTCCAACGACCTAGGAAAACCTGCCCCGTTTGAACGTACATGCTGTATGTGCACCCAAGGTTGCGACAGGTTCCACTGAGCCTTGAACAAGCTTTGGTCGCTCCGACCACGTGGTGGCGTGCCCGAAGGCTGCCTACTGCTGACCGCTGTGGTCACCTCATGGCTTGAGATGACGACGTACGCTCTTGTCTGCCGCGTGCACTAGCCCTTTAAAGAAAATCACAGCGTGGTCAACAGTTCAAAAAGAGCAGGTACGTGGAGTGGATCAGACTCCATATCAGTCATGGAATAGCCCTCTTCGTTGGGCAACCAGCTATGCTCACGAGGTTGCCCCCCTGCAACTTGAAAGACCTTCAAAAACAATCCTACAGGATCCCTGTGATTCCAAGGGTTACACACACACACACACCAGCACCTCAGCACCTCCTTCTACCTAGTCTCCTATAGCACCTCCTTCTACCTAGTCTCCTATAGACTACACTACTTGTGGAGCTCCATGTTTCGCATCCCTTTCAAGCTCCAGGCACACATGATTCTCTTCATCCCCCGGGGGTCGCTGTTTCCGGCCATCCTCCCGACGCGCTTCCGCCTCTCCCGGGGTGGTTTCCTCGGGAAACCCGGCCTTGGTCACGTTCCACTCAGCCTCCGCCTTCTCAATGAGCTCCTCAGCCTGAAGATCGAGCCACGAGTTTGGTCAATGGCTCGCTGAGTTCAAACAGTCCACTCTAGAGTCATAGAAAAACATAGCAAAAACACAAGACAAAAACGGATGTTTTCAGGTCACAACCTTGGTCAGACTGGACTTGCAGACGGACCGTTGATGTGTGCAACACATGCGGAAACACCCGACGTTGCTCTCGACTACTCTAACCAAAGTTCAAATCATCCCTTCATAGAAGGAATGCGCTGCTATGAGATTGCTGCATGTTGGCTTTAAAGGAACATGTGCTGGTGGTATCTCCAAATGTTCAATCTTGCCGAGTGTTGAGCATGTGTATGATGTCCTCGGAGAAAAAAAAGCGTTGTAACATGTTGCAAGTGTCCCAAAACAAACGGAGCCACTGGCACAAATTCATCCATTTATATACATAGGTCTTCGCAATTTAAGTGTGGGACTTTAAAGATCGGCGCTCGTTCCAGAAATAAAGTTCGGATAAGTTTGGAAGACACCCCAGAACTTCCGTTTTGACTCGTTTTACACCAGGTAGTCATGATCCACCACTTGTTAGGGGGTAACATGAGTCATTTGGGCTTCCAGGATAGTTGCCCAAAAGCCTCCTCTTGGTGCTCTTTTTGGCCTGAATGTGATTGGCCAATTTCATCATGAACATCTGCGCAACTTGAGTTGGGTCTAGGATAGCTCGCCTCCTGATTCAATCATGGTTGTCAACTTTGTATTTTCACCGTTGAAGTTCCTCTTCCCAGGAACTAGAACATACTACAGTATATACTGCACCGAACTCCTTGTATGTTAAATGAACACATTTAAATGAAATATGTTTTTCTGCGACCCGCAGAGCGCCGTTGGATGAAAACTACACTCGTCCAAAAGGACGGCTCTGGACTCTTTCATTGCACTGCGTGCAGTAGGTGACATGGGCACCATGTGACAATGTGGTTAGATCCGGCTCTTGGGATGCTGTTTAGATCTGTTTCAAGTTTACATATGAATACCATGCAGGTGTTGGCTGAAGACATCCCACAAGCTAGCGCCAACATCTATGTGGTGAAGACACTCTGCAAGCGCAGGAACATCCAAATCATTGTACATGCCAACGATGAGCCGAAACAGTTCTTGCAAGAGAGAACGGAGTGCAAGTTAAAGGACTCCGTTCTAAATGCTTGGGTATTCAACAGCGTGTTAATATCCGTCTGAAACCTAAGATCCATGATGTTGCACCTCTGATATGCAAATCTTGGCAGGTCAACACAGGGAGCGTATGCGCTAGCTAGCTAGCGTTGTTCAAGTGCATTCCGAGTCGACGTGACGTTGCAAAGACTTGGGACAAATAATCAGCAGGGCAGGCTTCATTTTTGCGGCACTTGACCCATTTTTGCCACTCGGATCCACTCGGTGGAAGCCCATTTTTGTGCAGTGCAACGAAAAAGCAGGTCCACGTCCAAAGACTCGACTCCACTCCTTTCTCCAAGCTTCGCTCCTCGCCCCCTGGCTCTTGAACATTCATGAACTACATCTATAGCCCTAAGAATCCGGGCTCCTTCACCAACACTACTAGGATTTGGGAACCGGCTCCGGACCGCGTTTCGGTGGAGAAGGTCCGCCCGTGCCATGCAGGTTGAAGAACACCGGTTTGTTTCGGGGCCTCCGACGAGTCTGCGAAACCTCACGGTGTCTTCGTTTCGGTTCGCCTCTCGATGGGACCGTGAGCAGGACTTCCAGCGTCGGCGCCGAGGGCAGGTCATCCAGGCGACCCACTCACGCCCTGAAGAGAGGCAGGCTTCGACGCGTCGAAGTGTTGTATACCAGCACCGAACCCAACAGGTCTCCGAAATGGAGGGTTGTTAGGCCCTAACAGGTTTCTGCTGGTATATATACAAATACTTATGTGTGTGTGTGTTGTTCTTCTTTTTTTTGAGGGGGAGGGGGGGTCTAGGTCCAGTATGGTGGCTCCTTGGATATGGTATACTAATGTATACTGTGTCTTTCGGACAATCTACAGTCCCATTAGGAAACGGTCGATCTTCAAGCAGGGTGATATGTCTTTGCAGCACCAGGCCAAGAAACACATTAGACAGTGGATGCACAATCCACTAGTAGGCCGATGAATGCTAGATTCAATAAACGCAAGATTGTGCCGTCTACCCAGATAAAATTAATATTGGCTTGTGTCAAACGACCCGCAAAGCAGTCTGATTTGTGCACTAGAATGCCTGTTCAAAGGACCACTCAAGCCAGCAACGTCTGCATTGAACAGCAACCAATATCATATCTCATCTAATTATGTGTCCATCTATTCAATCCACTTGTGTGATCATTTAAGTTCCATCAATTCCCGAGATTTGTGAGCAGTTCCTTCTTTTTGATTCTTATTGCATTCTCTGGTTATACTCTCAGATTCCTCCCCTGCTGAATTTGTCTTTGAAGTTTCCAGCCTTCTGTTGTAAACCCTCCGAGAAGAAGGATTTCAGCACCATTTCAGCACTTGTAGCTAGACACTCTGCAGCAAAGCCAAGGCACGCAAAGCCGGCCAAGCTTTCTCACCCTTCTGTGCCTCCATCAAACGTTCCCGCAAGCGCAGGACGTCCTCGGGACCCGGAGGATCCATCGTGCGTTGGGACGGCAACCCGTGGGGCAGCGGGGAGCATGGGGCATTTGGGGGGCACAGATGGTCCATGCTTCGCTGATAAGCAAATATTATAACGAGACAATCATTACAGTATAAGGTAAACGTGGTTTGTACAATCTTTCATGACAGCCTTAAACAATTGCTGATACTGCTGGCGACGGGCCCGAGGCAATTGTTCCGTTGGTTCACATATCCAACTACCCTTAGATTGAATGATTGAGTAGAACATAGTAGAACCGAGAACCTATATATGGTTTGGCGAAGGCTCACAGCTTTGGATCTGGCAAACCTTTACAAATCTCTGATCTTCGAAAGCTAAATGATAATTATATTTGTATTGAATTCAAATAAAAAAGGAAACTACGTATACAGTATATATGGAATTTAATCAAAATCAAAATTCAATTGAACGATAATTGAAATAGAATTAACATCAAATTACAGTAGAATTGAATCAACTTGAATTCAATGACAATTGAATTAAAATTAGATCATTTAGGATTTGCAACTCTTTATATACCTTCTGATTCTGATGTACTTATGCAATTGCATTCAATAAGAGCAACACAATTCACAAAATAACTTTAAAAGCAACTTTGCATAGGATTTGCATGGAACTGAATTACATTACATACAAGTTTCTAAAGTAAAGTGTTTTAATAATAGTTATATAAGAGAAACTACTTACCATCTACAAATAATGCAAAACCTTACAACATCACAACTTTCACAATCCTATCAATGTCATATCATCATCAAAGCCTTGCAAAATCACAACTTTCACAACTCCACCCCCTCTTTAACTTTATTGCATCTATTATATGTTTCCTCCTATGGTCCTATGCTTTATATTTTGCTGTATTGAATATCAATGAATCCATTAGAAAAGCGCAAAACCTCACAGTGGCCAGCTCTCCAACAGAGCAACCCCCTCCGGACTCGTCCCCGTCGTCCCCGGTTGGTCAAGAGAGGCACTTCGATGGAGCCCAACACAGGCGACTGGATTTTGCGCCCCACGTATCGGCGCAGGTCCAGCACCTGAGGACGGTGTCTCCGAGAGGTCGATGGGGGTCATCCGGTGTGGTAATCCAGATGTATACCACATTGAAATGGAACAAAGAAACACATGCCATGCACATAAGGTAGGGCTATCATTATTTGTTAATTGGCCGATGTCCATCCATTCTTTCATTTCTGGATTCGCTTCCCCCTCAATGTTACCGTATCCAGTGGGCTCCTCATTGGTGCTGAGGCCGCAGCCAAGCGGAAGTTGAGTCCCAGGTCCAAATCTGCTGCGCAGTTCACAGCAGTGCGGAAACCTGCCGTGGATGGATTTGGCTTCGTTTACGCTGGGTTCTGGGCTCGCACCTCCCCCCTCCGAACAAAAAGCTTGCAGAATTCAGGGCAACTAGTAACAAAGGGCATCGCTACTAGGAGCAAGGACACTACTAGTAGCTCCTGGCATTACTGCTTGGAGCAAATGCTAGGAACAAGAATTCATAGCCATAGCATGCTGCAGCCACAAAGCACAATATATGATGGCAGCAAGACTTTATAACGGCAGGCTGCTCTTCCGTTTTTTGGGGCAAATTGCCTTCCTCCTTCCTCCTTGCCTTCCTCCATGGTCAATCCTTGCTCCCTCCTTCCACCCTCCAGACGCGGCACCCGCCTTCCAAGGGCCCATCCATGGGGCACCCTGATCGAACGGCTCTCTGCGCCAAGTCCTCCACCCGGCGACGGAGGCGCAAGGCCTCTGCCTTCGAAGCCGTGGCCCGGGTGGCAATCACCACGCCGGAGAAGGTGAGCCGTGCCTGGTGCGAGTTGACCGATGTTTGCCGAGTGGAGATGAGGAGGGTGGCTCTGGAAGGGGTGGTGGTTTTCAGGGAGAACCACTCAGAAAAGAGTCACATTCCAAGCAAGCGCAAGCAAGCGCAAAGGAGGACTGGGTTGGTTGGAATGGCTAGCTACTTGTCCAGTCTGTCAAGCTGGACACCACTTGCAAGAATGAAATGCTGCAGGGAACACCAAATCAGCCCATTTCACCAGATTCCCAGAGGCTCGTTGAGTCCTGCCATGTCTAAAAGCATCTGGCCAAGCCCTAAAAGCAGTTTCCATCCAAGTTCTACAGCCCTTGGAGATGCTTGCCACACATTCATCCCTCCTTGGGGCTTTGCCTCCAGAAACCCAAGGCAAAGATTAGCGAGACCCACAGTAATTCCACCTGAAGACGCTGACAGTGACCTCCAAGTATAGACAACTGTTTTGTTTTCTTGGTTTTGAGTCCGTACATGAACATTTTTTTCAGTGGTGCAAGGGGGAGACTCTTTTTCAGGGCAATTGATAAAACACACAAGCGCTCCATGCAATATCATGAACATGTATAGTTGACCTCGTTGCGGATCTGGAAGGGGACAGAAACCCACCGGACACGTGGCAAAAAAACCTTGCATGGCCTGGGCTTCAAGACCATTAAACACATCGTTGACCCGGTGCTGTAGTCTTACTAAAACAATGATTGCTTCGTAGGACTATATGTTCAAAATCCTTAGATCTCTCGTTTGCCCTCTTCTCCTTGACGCGCGAGGGCGAATCGGCACGGCCATTCAATAACTAAGCGTTGTTCGGGATTTCAGGCTCTTAAGATAAAAAATCAACCGACCAGGGGTCACAAAGGGGTGGTTTTTAGAGCCTAAGTAAGTGGATAATGGGCACCCCTATCCCCCAATAGGCACCCCTTTGTGACTGGGGTACGTTCTAATGTTATAATGATACATATGGTCGTGGTAGAGTCTATAAGGGCCTTCCCTCCAACCGAGCTGCTGCATGGTAGCGACCCTTTGAAGTCCGCACCGTCCACAAACTGGCACGAACCCGAGATGGATCCTGACCGGACAAACAACCCAGGGATCCACTGCCACCCTCTCAGGGACGGTAAGGACGGAGACGCTGTTGTGTAGTTTTGGAGGGTCCAAGTCCAAGTACCTTCTGAGGTTCGGTGGCAGTGGATCCCGAGGGCAAGTCATCGCTCGCCGCGTTGGGCACGCCACATTCACGAGCCGTCGGGGATTGGATTGTATCCACCCATAAGGGCATCGGCAAAGATGCCAAAAGCGATGGCCTAAAACCTACTAGTGATGGCCTCCAACCTAAGAGCCATGACCTCCAGTTTCAATGGATTCGGGACTTGGGAGAGGCTTCACATCAAATCCTTCAACTTCAATCGTGCTCTATTCGTGCTTCATGTTTCCTCCTCAACAGAATTGCTCCAAATCACCACTCTGCAACGTCAGTCCTGAGATCTCATCTTTGGCACTCCTGATCCGCTGCCCGAACGTCAGGCCCAGGGCACGTAGGGCACGGCCCATGTTGGCATGAAAAGAATGGCCCAATGGCTGTTGAAACAAGACACAGAGGTTCTTCTGGGCTGCTTTCTGCTGCCTGGGAGCGGTTCAACAATGTCTGTGTGAAGGGCTTTACCTGCCGTTGCCACCTTGAGAAGCAAGTATCCGATATCCTTTTCATCTGGATGCGGTCAAGGACAATATTAATGGTCGATATGGATCCATGGCACCTCCGGATTTTGCATTTTTTGCCTGTTTCTCCTCCTTTTTTGCCCGGCCTCGCGGCTCGCGCGAGCTGGGGACTTTCTCCATGAGCCACAAGAGCTCTTGCCGAAGCTGGGGAGACAAACGCTTCTCGATGGCCTAGGTCGATAGGCCGAGTCGCTGTGCATCAAACGGCCTAAAAAAGACTGGCCATTTCACGGTGGCGGCTGACCGGCTGACCCATGGGACACGACCTGTCTGGGACTGGAGGATTGACCTATCAGCGATCCAAATATCAGCCAGGAGTCACATGTCGGGGTGATTTTGAGTCCCATCCAGTGAGTGGATGTTTTGGCCCAGTGAGTGGATGTTTTGGCCCAGT